ACGCTTACCAGCCTGAGCCACCCAGGAGCCCCAAAATTGGAGACTTTGTACCAAGGTCAGGGAGGCCTCCAGGATATTTCAGGAAAGGGACCATGACCGTGACAGAGAGGTTGTGTTTAATCCAGGCAGGCTGATAGGTTTCCTTGAAAAGGAGCCCACGGGTTCTGTCAGGGATCAGGGTCAGGAGTTCATTCAGCCCAGTCACAGTGGGGATGGCTCGTCTCTGTTCCATGGTGTCTCGGGTGTCACCGGGAAGGTCCAGCGGCTGGGAGGGAAATCAGAAGAAGGCTGGTCACTCGTGTGTCGCGGTTGATGCTGGCCATCTGCTGGGACCTCACCTCAAGCCGTTGGCTCTGGTGCTTACATGTGGGCTCCCCCTGTGGCAAGTCTGGGCTTCTTCAGAGCATGGTGGCTGGGTTCCGGGAGGGAACCCGAGAGAACCAGCTGGAAGCCGTGTTGCCTTTCAAAAAGATGATATGTTTATTCAGATTCACATATAATGTCGTTCACCAGTTTAAATTCACATGGGACAGGGGCGCCTGGGTGGCTTAGTCGGTTAAGTGTCCGACTTCGGCTCAGGTCATGATCTCGCGGTTCGTGGGTTTGAGCCCCACGTCGGGCTCTGTGCTGACAGCTTGGAACCGGGAGACTGAATCGGATTCTGTGTCTCTCTCTCTCTCTCTCTCTCTCTCTCTCTCTCTCTGCCCCTCCCCCACTCATGCGCGCACGCGCGCGCTCTCTCTCTCTCTCTCTCCCTCCCTCCCTCCCTCTGTCTCTCTCTGTCAAAAATAAACATTTAAAAAATTAAAAAAAAATTCACATGGGACACCACTCACTCATTTGAAGGGTGAGATTCAGTGGTGTTGCGGTGTATCCAAACACTTCCCGTAACCATCGCCACTGTCAATATCAGAGTGTTTATCGCCTCAAAAAGAAACCCTGTACTCTTTGGCTGTCACCCCAACTGCCCATCCCTCACCCCAAGCAACCACTAACCTGCCTTCTGTCTCCATAGATTTCCGTTCTAGACATGTCATATAACTGGGGTCATATAATAGGTGTTTTATACGACTGGCTTCTGGCACTTAGCGTAATATTTTCAACGTTCTTCCTGTAGCGTCAGCACTCATTTCATAACCGAATACTATTCCGTCGAACAATGTTCCGGTTCGCCACGTGTTTGTTCTCATAGAACATTATAAATGCCAATTCACTTTTTTATCTTTGTAAGTAAGCTTCAAGGTTCTTAAGAGTTTGTAGTGCTGTGTGCTTGTCTTTGCCTGCCTGGGACTCCCCGTAATGCCCGTCACAAGGTGGTAGCTTTCAAATGTTTATTAAATTCTGCCGAAAAATTTTAGGATATAAAAGGGAACGATAAAAAAAATTGTTTTCAGTGTTTATTTATTTTTGAGAGAGAGACGGAGAGACAGCACAAGCAGGGGAGGGGCACAGAGAGGGAGACACAGAATCCGAAGCAGGCTCCAGGCTCCGAGCTGTCAGCACAGGGCCCGATGTGGGCTCGAACTCACAGACTGTGAGATCGTGACCTGAGCCAAAGTCGGACGCCCAACCGATTGAGCCCCCTAGGCGCCCCTTTTAAAAGGGAATATTTTATGTAATTGAAGTGCTGTGCCACAGGCACAGGAGTGGAGGAACGGATGGACGGCTGAAAAAATGACCCAGTATAAATGCCGCATTTCGAAGATGGTGTCCTGAAACCAGTGGTGAAAAAAAAGGATAGGTTTTTGACAAATTGCATTGGAACAGTTGATTATTTTTTTAAGAAAGTTTTCTTACACAGTATGTAGCAAAATAAAAGAAATTCTAGGTGGCTGAAAACTTAAGGGTAAGAAATGAAACCACAGAAGTGTGGAATGAGGATACGGTGGAATACTTAGCCGGCTCGGTAGGTCTGGTGGCTGAACGTTCCTGTGCTTCCTAATTCCTAAACCCGTGGGAAGCCCTGACCCCCAGAGTGAGGGTGTTAGGAGGCGGGGCCTTTGGGGGGTGAGGAGGTCCTGAGGGTGCAGCTGTCCCCCGCCCACCGTGGTGGGATTAGGGCCTTTATAAAAGACACCCCAGGGACCTCCCCTGCCCCGTCCCCTGCCCCTTCGCCTGTGCCCGCGCGGCCAGCCACCTGCCGGGTGAGGACATGGTGAGGCGGCACCTTCTGCAGCCCTGAAGTGCTTTGATCTTGGACTTCCGGCCTCCAGAACCGTGAGGAATAAATGCCTTTGCTTATAAGCTGCTGCCCCATGTGTGGTGTGTTTGTTAGGGTTGGAATGGGCTGAGACAGTGGGGGTGGGCCTTTGTTTTTTAATCTTAGAGTGTGTGAGTGAGGAAAAGAGGTCGGGGGCTGGGGGGGAGAGAGAGAGAGAGAGAGAGAGAGAAAGAGATTGAGAATCCCAAGCAGGCTCCACACTCGTCATGGAGCCCAACACGGGGCTCGATCCCACGACCCTGGGATCATGACCCGAGCTGAAATCAAGAGTCAGCCTCTCAACCACCTGAGCCCCCCGTGCCCCTGGGGTGGGCCTTTTGGGGTATAGTCGTCAGAGCAGAGCCCTGGGTAAAGCATGAAAGTGAGGTTGACTTACCAACATAGACCTTTGAGTTTCCACAAACCAGGCAGACGGATTTGTCACCTTTTCTGTCACTGTTCTACGTTCTGGCTTTCTCTTGCTGCTGTGACAGACTACCACAAACCCACCGGCTTATAATACCCACGAATTATCTTACGGTTCTGGAGGTCAGAAGTCTGACCTGGGGTTGGTGGGCTAAAAGGAAGTTGTTGGCAGGGCTTTCTGGAGGTTCCAAGGAGAAGGCGTTTCCTTACTCTCTCCAGCTTCTAGAGGCTTCCCATGAGCCTTGGCTCGTGGCCCCCTTTCTCCATCTTCACAGCCAGCAATGTAGCCTTGATCTGAGCATTCTTCATGGCCTCACTCCCTCTCAGAGGGCGGGAAGGCTTTTAAGGACTCGTGATCGGATCGGGCCCACCTGCCTCGCCCAGGCTACACCCAACATTTATGTGTTTGATTGCGTGTGCAGAGCCCCCTGTGCTGTGTGAGGGGACACATTCATAGGTTCTGGGATTACGATGTCTTTAGGGGCCACTGTTCTGCCAGCCACACTGCCTGAATGACAAGAAATCCTCTGTTTCCAAAAAGGTTTTTAGGGTGCAGTAAGAAGAGGGTGAACACCCCCTTAGAACGACGGACAAAGGGCCCGAGTAGGCGGTTTACTGAATGGAGTAGCACAAGCGAACAAAAGTGTTTCAAAATTGTTTAACCTTCCGAATGACTGAGGGGACACACAGGCAGTGTTGGGAGCACTTTTCTCCCATAAAATCAGCAGTGATTTGGTTGTCCCCCCGGCTGCCGTGTGGACAGTACGCGTCACAGTGGGCAGCGCTTCGGTTACGACGCAATTATGTGGTGGGACAGTGAGGTTAAAGGTGATGCTGTCCAGGGAGGTGGAGCGGGCATGGGTCACCTGGTGCTCATTCTGCTGTTACCACTTTTAAAACCTTTCAAACGTTGGAAGTAATTACAGGTTTACAAGGAGTGGCAGAGAAATTTGTGCCCTTCTCATCATGTTTTTGAATCTGATACAGAGCGTGTATGTTTTTGCACGTATCAAAGGTCAATATAAGGTCATATATAAGGTCAATAAATGTAAGGTCAATAAATGCATTTTCGTAAATTGAAAGGTAACGATACGGGGAAGGGTCATGGCATGTTGCTCAGTGAAAAAGGTAGGGTTGCATTCTGTCGTTAAAAATGAAAACGTTCTTCTGTGCGTGAAACGCCCCGGCGTCTGCCTTTGTTTTTGCGTGTGCGCACCGCCCACCGGCTGCTGTGTCAGTGTTACTGTGGTTGTCTCTTGTGTGCGGACGGTGACAGGAGGTTTCCCTGCTAGCGGCTGGAAGAGCGGGCTCTGTTTGTTTCACGTAAGTGGGAGCCCGAGGGGGCCGGACGGGTGGACTGCGCTCTCTCATCTCCCTGTTCGGCCGTGTTCTGGGCTGGTCCCGCATCTCAAGGCTGTTTCTCACCGTGGCACAAAGGCCGAGGAATCTCGAGGCCTCTCACCTGAGTTCCAGCCAGGAAGAGAGGGAACGGCTGCGGGCCAGGGGCGTGCGCTGCAAAACCAGGAGGGGCTGTGCTACCTCTGACTCACCTGCGCTGGGTCATCTGGCCTTCCTGGCTGGAAGCCCCCCCAGCCCAGGAGGAGGGGGTGTGGGTTGGGCTGCTCGGCTGACCACCCTGCTCGCCTGCCATCTTCCAAGTTTATTCTGATGAGCCGAGGAGTTTTACAATAAGACTATGTTGTCTTTAAAAGGCTATGTTTTTTAATTAAAAACATTTTTTTTAATGTTTGTTTTTGAAAGAAAGAGAGCGTGAGCAGGGGAGGGACAGAGAGAGGGGGAGACACAGAATCTGAAGCAGGTCTAGGCTTTGAGCTGTCAACACAGAGCCCGATGTGGGGCTCGAACTCACGGACCGTGAGATCGTGACCTGGGCTGAAGTCGGACGCTCAACCGACTGAGCCTCCCAGGCGCCCCTAAAAAACTACGTTTATCTTCTCTTTGTAATTCTGCGTTTTGTCTTTAGACAGAGTGGTACCAGGTGAGAATTTCCAGATGGGCATTTGGTCATCAGGGCTAAGTCCTGCCGGTGGCACCCGGCCGGAGAGCAGAGGCTGCCAGAGCTTTGGGAGTAGCCCCCAGCCCTCCGTGGCCTCGTCACCGGTGCTGCCTGGGGCCCCGGGCCGAGGCCCATTGGCAGAGTGGGCTGAATGCCCCGTTGTTCGTGCGTGTGGGCTTGTGTGGCACCATTCATCCCTCCCGGACGGGCCCTTGGGACCCGTGGCAGCTGATGGAGAGTTGCTGCCCTCAGGCTCGTATGTGGGTTGCTGGGAACTGGTCCTTTTCCTGAGTCAGTGGTGGGCTCTTGGGGAAGCGGAAGAGAAGCTAATCGGTCTCCCTTCTCTTTTTTAAACAGCATCCAGCATGTGTATGGCGCCCAGCACCCCCCCTTCGACCCACTGTTACATGGCACGTAAGTGAGGCCTGGACTCAGGCTGCTTTAGGCACGCTCTTGGGCGCCGTGGTGACCCTCCGGCTCCCTGGGATTCCTGAGGGGGAGGCGAGCGGTCTTCCCTTCCGCAGACACGTGTCGAGGCCTCGCACGGCCCGTCCTCTGGAGGAAGGCACACTTGGAAGCCCGGCCCGAGGTGGGGGAGCCTGTGCGGGAGAGCCCGGGGCTGGCACCCCCTGAGCTGGTGGGGGAGGGCCTGGCTCACGGCGGTGGGTTTACTTCCTCGCCCTTGGCCGCACTCTGCGTGGTCACCTGGGGCCTGCTGTGCCCCTGGGTCTGGGCTCTGCCCCAGAGGCACGCGGGAGGCATTGTGGCCCCGCAGGACTGCGCTGTCCTTGTTTAAGGACCTTGTGGAAGCTGTGCTCTCTCCAGGTCCGCGTACCAGAGGCCTGTGTTCTGTGGACAGCCCCCCTGGGAGGTTTGCAGGCATCGGCCAGCGGGAGGTTTGGGGAGCAGGTCTGAGTGTCCTTACTGTGCATTGCTGCGTTTGCTCCCAAATCGGTTCCGTACGAGGGCTGAGGCTGCTCAGCGTGACTGGCCCTCGAAAGCCTCTCCTTCCTGCCACTAAATCCTTACAAGTCTTCTTCTGGATGCTTCTTTGGATCGTGTTTGCTTTTACCCTCAGCTTTACCCTCAGCTCAGCTGAAGTGGAACGCTCACGTGTGCGCTGTCCCACCGGGGGGCTCCTTCCTGACGGGATCTGGGGGGGATCCTCTCGGGCCTCCGGGAGGACAAGCAAAGACCTGCCTTTACTTCGCAGCCTGCTCAAGGCCACGCCCAAGGTGCCCACCACACCGGTGAAGGCCAGGAGGACCAGCACCTTCCAGGAGTTTGAGAGCAACACCAGCGATGCCTGGGACGCCAGCGAAGACGACGATGAGCTCCTGGCCATGGCGGCCGAGAGCCTGAACACCGAGGTGGTCATGGAGACGGCCAACCGCGTCCTGCGCAACCACAGCCAGCGGCAGGAGCGCCGCAGGCCGCCCGAGCCTCCCGCGGTGCCGAGCGGTGACCTCCGGCTGGTGAAGTCCGTCAGCGAGAGCCACACGTCCTGTCCTGCAGGTGGGATGGGGGCACCGAGCAGACGGGGTGCGTTTCTGAGAGAGAAGGGGCCGGAGTCCTCTCCCTGTGGGAGATTAGACGGGTTCTGTTCTGGGTGCGGCGGGAGCTCCCTGAGTGCCCGCGGTGGACTTTTCTTTGCCCTCCCAGCTGAGCGCTTCTCTCCTCCAAGTGCGGGGGCCAGCTTTTGTGGCTGGTCGTGGGAGACATGGCTAGTGCAAGGCCCCGGGGGACCCCGTCTCCCTCCTAAGTGCACCCCGGTTGTTCCGGGGGTGACATTTCCAGCCGAGGGGCCAGGCTGCTTGCACGTTCAGAGCCAGCACGTCTATCGGCAGCTTCCAGCGATGCCCTGTCCCGGGTCAGGTACACGTGGGGGTGGGGCTGGGGTGGGGTCCGGGGTTTGGAGTGGTGAGTTCAGGTTATAAACTGAAGGATGGGATCAGCGTGTGTCTGGTACCCTGTGCCTGGCTCTCTGTGGCCTTTCTCGAGATTGCTGTTGTTACTGTGGTTCTTTTTGTTTTCGGGGGCCTGTGATGTAAGACAGCAGGTATTTGACGAGCTTCTGGGATGGGTCAGGCACCGCTCTCAGGGCTTGGGGGCCCCCAGGGGAGTCCTTGCCCTGGAGCGCGTTTTGGCGCGGGGGGGGGGGGGTGGGTGGCGGACACGGACACCGACGACCTAGGCATGATCGCATGATCAGCAAGGAGGCACGGAGTGTGCGGGGAGGTGACAAGAGCCAAAGGTCAAAATAGAGGCGGGGCACTGTCGTGAGAGCAGGCAGGACCCTGGGGCGGAATCACAGGTGAGGCCTCGGGGCGCCTTTCTGAGAAGATGAAGGAGGGAGGCGTGGGCACCGGCAGCAGAGGGGCCAGTGCGACCACACCCTCACTGGCTCCCCCTCCCAGGCTTGTCCCCGTATGCTGGTGAGGGCGGCCTCAGGTTTCCCTTCCGGCACACCCGGAGCTGGTGTCCGTACCTGGCCTGTCTTCAGAAACTCTTCCCACAGGTTGATTAACTTTTGAGATGCCACAAGTCTCCTTGGGTGAGAGTGTGGTGAGCAGTTTGCATATTGGAATCTAAACTATTTTTTTCTAAAATAGAGTGAACTTCAAAGTATTTGAGCCTGAACATGAAAGTCCGGGTAGGGCTTCCACAAGTGGGTTGGGACTCCCTGTGACCGATGGACCGTCCCTGTGCGCCCTCAGCCTGCGTGCATTGACCGGCTCCTGCGTGCACACCACCCCCCCCATGCGCACCACCCCCCCATGCGCACTGACCGCCCCCTACATGCTGACCACCCCCTGCGCTGACTGCCCCCCCACTAACCCCCCCTGCAGTGACCGCCTCTGCACTGACTGCCCCCGCACTGACCACCTCCTGCACTGACTGCCCCCTGCACTGACCTCCCCTGCGTGCTGGCCGCCCCCCACACTAACCGCCCCTGCACTAACCGCCCGTGCACTAACTGCCCTGCACTGACCACCCCCTGCACTGACCGCCTCCTGCACTGACCGCCCCCTACGTGCTGACCACCCCCTGCACTGACTGCCCCCTGCCTTCTGACCGTCCCCCTGCGCACCCTCAGCCTACGCACCTCTTCCTGTTGGCAGGCACCCCGTGCTCCTCTGCCCTTTGCTGTGCTGATGCGAGCCGTTGAGGCATCTTCTCACATCTCAGGGGCCTGGGTAGAGCCTCTGTAATACCTGCCGTCCGAGCAGTTGCTGGAGGGGGCCTCAGCACCCCAGAGATGTGGGGCCGGTGTTGGTCAGTGGGGTGGCTGCGGCGAGAATCCCATAGACCAGATGAAGTATGAACAGAGTTCTGGGGGCTGGAAGTCTGAGATCAGGCCGCCAACATGGTTGGATCCTGGTGAAGGCCCTCTTTGGGAGCGGACGGCGGTATCCCCACGTGGGGGGGACCAGAGGGGGAGACCCGCTGTCGCGTGACTCTTACGAGAGTGCTAATGCCACCGTGAGAACCCCAGCCTCCTGACCTCCTCTAAACCCGATCACCTCCCAGAGGCCCTTCTTCCTAACACCATCCCGTCGGGGGGCAGGACTTCAACGTACGAACTTCGGGGTGCAGAGCATTCAGCCTGTGGCCACGTGCACGGTTGGGTCCAGCCAGGGTGGGGGGCCTTGGCGTGGCCGCCTCCTGTAAAAGCCAGGTGGAGGGTGCTCCTGGCGGCTCGTGCTGGGGGAGGGGGCCGATAACTGCAACTGCCCCCTGCCTCCCCCTGCCTGGGAGTGCAATGTCTTTCCTTTGTCTGCTCTGGGTGAGCACCTCCGTGTCACGATAGCAGCCGGCATTCGTGGAGTGTCCGCCATGGCCATGTGGCAAGGCCTGTGGCGGGCCCTCATCATGGGCGGACCCCGGCAGACTCTGCAGCCGCTCTAGGAGTGAGTTTACGGGGGAGGCACGGAGAAGTCACACGGCTTGCCCAGAGTGGCGGTCTGCGTGGTGTGGCACAGGGCTCAGACCCCCGGCGTCTGACTCCAGGGCCTGCTGCCAGCCGCTGGCCTCACTGCCTATGGCGGGGCCTGTCCACCGGCGAGTCCAGCCCCAGGGGACTTTGCTGGTTGTGGCATCTGGGGCAGGGAGTGGCTGCTCCTGGCGTGGAGTGGGCGGAGACCAGGGCTGGCTGCGGCCCCCCCCCCAGCCCCCCGCACCCATGCGCAGTGCCGAGGTGGCCCCTTAGGGAGCTGACCCCCCCGGGGGGCTGGCAGTGGCGGGCAGAACCCCTGGGCCTGTGTTCAGTCCCCTTGGTGGCCCGTTTGTCGTCGGGATGGCTCACTCTGTGTCCGTGCCAAGATGGACACGTCAGTGCTCGTTCCTGCTCGACTGGGCCCGGCACGGAGGTGTCGACTGGCACCTAGTGGGAGTCTAGTGGGGAGACACGAGGAGGTGAGTCTTTCACCCCCACGAGTGGGACGGGGCCTCAGAGCGGTGGATGGGACCCAGAAGCACCCAGGTGTAGAAGTCCCAGGTTTGTCTTGTTGAGGAGGGCATATCATGGAGGGTTTCAGAGAGGAGGTGAGATCCGTAGGGTTTCCGGGAGGGTGAGGCTCCGGGCTCGGGCGGGGAGGTGCCGGGTCGGCTGGCTTCCCTGTGGGGTCACGTCCGTCTTCACGCTTCATCTGTATGCCTTGCGGGTTCCCCAGAGGGCAGGGACCACGTCCCACTCCCTTTGCTTCCCCTTGCTGTACCGGGTCATTCCATAAATGTTGCTGAGGTACACGGGGCTGTCCTTGGGGCCCGGTGACCACGTGCTGTCCCTGCCTCCACACCCCACCCCACCCTCGTCCCTGCATGGGCCACACGGCCGCCGTTCAGGTGAGGGACCTGTGAATTCCACGTGACGAGAGTGTGCGTGGCGCGGTGCCGTGCCATTGGGAAAGCCCGGGACGCTGCGTTCCACAGGGCACGGTCTGCTTGGAGCGCTGCTTGTCCTTGCCACGGCCAGCGTTCGTGTCGGGCGCCTGTGCCTTTACGGCGCGTCACTGTGGGGCGCGCACGTCACCTGCTCAGTGTCTGCCCCTGAGAGACGGTGGCCTGAAAATTCAGTGCTGTGCCGCGTGGCGCTCTCAGGCTGGCCTTCCGGTGCCTGTTCTTTACCTCTGGACCGTGCTGCCTTCCTGAGCAAACACCTGAGAGATCTAGACCTGCAGTCAGGTGCGCTTGCTTGATTTAGGCTGCCGCTGGCTTCGTGGCAAGGTGCGTGTCTGCCGGGAAGGGGGCACGGCCAGGTGAGGTCTGTGTCGGTCGCTGACCGTGACTGAGCTGCGAGTGGGTAGTGGGTGGGCACTGACTGGAGAAGGTTAGACCCACTCTTAGGGGCCCCGGAGGGGGGAGGCCGACGTGTTTTCCACTCACAGTAGCAGGAGACCTGGCTGTCGGCCTTCCGGCTTCCTGGGGGGACCTGCTGTCGCTGTGCCTTCCAGACCCCACCTGCCCCATCGTAGAGTGACCAGATGTGTGCTCCGTGCAGGAGTCAGTGGTCCTCACGTATCCTCAATGTGGGGCTTGAACTGAAGAACCGTGAGATCGTGACCTGAGCCGAAATCAAGAACCGGACACTTAACCGACCGAGCCACCCTGGTGCCCCTTGTCAGGTGTCCTCATAAATCGCACTGATCCTGTCCGATCGCAGAGGAGTGAGATCAGCACACTTAGTTCTGCGATAGAAGGGGGACTGTTCTTTCTGCCCGTTGTTTTTCCTAAAGAATCGTGACACGTGGCTCAGTGATAGATTCTGAGGGTGGTGGTGTTGTGGGGGGGGGGGTCTGAACATCCCGCCACTACCCTCCCCGTTCCCTCCCCCTGCAGAGCCCTCCCCGAGGTGGGCCAGCGGGACGCCTCCTGCAGGTGAGGGGTCAGCCCTGAGGAGGGGCCGGGAGGTGCTCTCACCATGACGCCCACTTCTGTAGGCTTTTCTGGAAGCCTGACTGGGCCGGACTCTGCCCAGAGGCCGTGGGCCGCCTTGCTGCCCTGTGGCCTGAGGGTTTCTGTGTGAAGCCTTCCCCATCTGGGTTTTTAGGGTGACGGGTCCGCTCTGCCGACGGGAGGGACGGTGGGGGTCCTCCAGCCGCTGCCAACAGCCAGCACGCACGCTTCACGTGTCTGTCCCTGGCCCCGTTTCATTTCCTGGAGCTTATTTATCCCTCCGCTTTAAATCTCATTTTTGGAAGGTGTGAACCATCGATGGTATTTCGACCTGGGGGTGTGCGCCTGTCACTGCCATTTGCTCGTGGGCCCCTGTTGGTCCCGGTGGCTCTTTGTGAGTGGCCTGTTGGGCCTTGGGCTCTCTCCTGTGGCTGTTCCCGGTCTCGGCTTGCTGGGTTTCGTGCACTGTTTCACCTCGGTCCTGTGCGTCCAGTCGCGGGGTCGCTGGGCCTTCGCGCGTGGTGGTAGGTCCTCTGGGTGAGGGCCGGGCAGGCCCGCAGCCGCTGCCCCTCCCCTACATGCGGTGGGCTCTTGCTTCCTGAGCTTTCGGTGAGAGTCCCTGCCCCACCTCCCCCATGGGGCGTGGGGAGATCCGGGAATCCTCAGTGCCTTTGTGGGCCTTGTTCCCCTCCACGTGTGACTCAGTGGTTTCCTTCCGTGCTCAGGCCCGGGGGACCCTCATCCTTGCTTGGTGTCAACAGGTCCTCGGGCAGTGTCGCCTGGTACGCCTGGCCGGCCTGCTTTGGAGGACCCTGACGGTCGGTCTGCCCTGAGGCGGGTTTTCTGGGCATCTCCATTTTGCCTTTGCGTGGGGCATGTCTGTGTTACCGGCGAGGTGGCCGGGCTTCGTTGGGTGTCCTCTAGTTTCATTTCATTGCCCAAGAAACCCGGGTCTGCACTGCCCGGTGACGGGTGACGGGAGGAAGGGACAGCAGTGACACAGTGGCGCTCACTGAGGGAAAGTGGCACAGGTGGGGCCTTCTTCATGGGGAACGGCCGCTGGGGCGTCCCGGAGGCCGTCCTCACCCCCTGCGCACGCGCACTCTCTCTCTCTCTCTCTCTCTCTGCAGAAAGTGCCAGCGACACCGCCCCTTTGCAGAGGTCCCAGTCTCTGCCGCACTCGGTGACCGTCGCACTTGGCGGGACGTCAGACCCCAGCACCCTCAGCAGCTCAGCGTTAAGTGAAAGAGAGGCCTCCCGGCTCGACAAGTTCAAGCAACTTCTGGCCGGTCCCAACACGGACCTCGGTAAGTCCGCCGCTGGTGGAGGGCGCGTGGCTGTGCCGCGTTCTGGGGTTACCTCGTGAGGGCGTCTGTTAGTGTTGTCCTGCCAGCGAGTCCCGAGGAGGAGAGTCGTTTGTCCTTGTGCTTTACTTTAGACGCGTTTCGGTAACTTGCTCCCAGCGCGGTTGATCTGGGATTTTCTGTCCTTTCTCCTTTGTGCCCCTGTGGAGCTCCTTCGGCTTTTGGAGCCCTCTTGTTTGCTCCGCAGGACCAGCCAGGTTGACGTCCCCGCTCTTCATAGGGTTCATGGGGCGCAGGGCTGGTGACCGGTGTCGTGACTGCTGCTGACTTCGCACCTTCCTCTGGGGGCTCAGGGTCGGTGTGGTGTGTGATAGGCCGTGAGTGCTTGCGGGGGGCAGGGCAGTCCCAGCCTGGTTCCCGGGGGCCATGGGAGCCGCGTGGGGGCCATGGGAGCCGCACGGGCTCTGAGGCACGCGCTTGCCTTGAAACCTCTCTGCTGGAGTTCACTTGCCTGCCCCCTGCGAGCTTTCCTTTGTATGTCTCGTCTCTGTGGAGTGTCCCTCCGCGTGGGGCGTCTCGCTGGATGCGGGCGCTCTCCGGAAGGCGGGATGTGGCCGCCGTCATGAGATGGCTCCTAGCTGGGCAGGTGCCAGGGTGGCTGGTCCGGGGCTGGCGCGCCGAGGCGGTCGGCGTCCCACTCGGCCAGCAGGTGGCGCACGAGGCACGCGGCTGGGCTGCAGGGCCTGGGGGAGGCCGGGTGGGCGGAGCCTGGAAGCTGAGCGGCCCTGTCCACCAAGGTGCTCCCCTCTGCGTGCAGAAGGGTTGTTCCCCTGCACACAGAAGGGTTGTGTGCTCATTCTGTTGATGGCTTTGTGCGTGCACGTGTCACACATTCACGCAGCACCGAAGAACGTGCGGCGGAATGCCCGCCTCCCCCCACCTCCTCTGCCTGCCAACTTCTGGGCGTCGTCTTCCAGACACGGTGGAGGCACGTGATGTTTTACACTTGCTCTTTTCATGTGATTTCACATTTACAAAAAAGTTGCAAGAGCGGTCCAGGCGACACCCACGTTAATGCCCCAGTCGTTTGCATTTTGCCCCTTTTCGTTCTGTGTGTGTGTGCTCGTGTGTATGCGCGTTTTTCCCGAACATTGGAGTTTGAGTCTGTTGGACGCATCGCATCCCTTTCCTCCTGAGAACGTCTGTCTCTGCGTGTTTTCCAAGCGCAGAGACTCTGGGCGTAACCGCAGCACTGTTGCCAGAGTCGGGACATCGCACGTCGATACGGCGCTCTTATCTCCGCCACGGCCCACGTTCACATCGTGCCTGTCGTCTCGGCGATGCGCTGGCTGTCTTCCTCCTCGTCCCTCACCTCTGGCGGCCTGGAGCAGCGTCCCAGCCTCGCGCCGTGTCCCCGGGTGTTGGTGTTTTGGAAGAGGGCAGGCCCGCTCTTCCGTGGTGTCCGTCAGCGTGGCTTGTCTCGTTTCTGCGGGTGAGATTCGGGCCCGTCGCTGGCAGGAAGGTCGCCTAAGAGGTTTGTGGTCTCGTCGCCATGGCAGGAGGCCACCACTGGCTTGTCCCAAGTGGATGAGTCCCGTCCGGTCACTTGGTTAAGTTGGCGTCTGTCCGTTCCACTGCTGGAAAGTTCCTCTTTTCCTTTGCTAATTCAGAAGTAATTTCTAGAGAGAGACTTTGGTGTCTGCGCATTTGCACAACCAGTTTTCTTCCTCCACACGTGTGGTAATGCCGCTCTGCCCACACCTTTGGACTTCACAGTGTATTTCCTACGCTCGTGCTGACGGAGCGCCCGGCCTGTGCTCTGCTGTGCGGCCTGCCCGTCTGCGGTGCCTCAGGACTCGTCACTGTGCCTCGTCACTGCTGTTACTACAGGGGGCTTGGGGACAGCCTATCAGACCCCACACTAATGACCGGGCCACTCATAAAGCATCCCGGGTGTGGGTGCGGCAGAGGGGAGCCTGGCAGCTGGGCGGCCGGGGTCTAGCCCACCAGGGGGTGTCAGGTGGACCTGGGGCGAAGGAGTCCGCCCTCAGTGTTTGAGGATATACCTTAGCCACTCGCTTTACTAGCCCGTCAGCACAGCTGTGCCCCGGAGGCGGTGCGGGGAGGTTGAGTCACGGAGGGAGGGTGGGGATGCTGAGGACACCGCTCTCCGGCCCCCGGAGGGAGCGAGCCCGGTCCTGCCCCCGCTGTCCCCGTCGGTCCTCCCCGTGGCGCTGGCGGGGCCGGGAGTGCAGATCCGGGGGACGATGCGTGTGCGGTGCCGGAGAGCGCGCCCGCACAGGATGGACGCCGACCGGTGTGGTCGGTGCCTTGTTCTGGTTCGTTTGCCTTGGCCCGTCTCCCTTTAACTTGATTTTTCGGGCACTGACTATGTGATCACTGTGTGGTCACTGACGAGTCAGGTGGTTTGCTCACGTCCCCCGGTTGAGTTAAGCGGTCTCTAACAGCAGGCGGCGAGGAGGTGGTCGGTGAAGACGAGCTAGGTCTGACGGGAGGTGCGGCTTTGGTTCAGGATCGGGGGCCCCGTCAGGCTTCTCGTGGACGCGGTCACGGACGCGGCTTGGGGAACCAAAGTCCTACTTACGAACAAAGCGGTCACGGCCTGTCGGCAGAGGGGCCGCGTACGGGCAGGATGAAAGGTTAACATGTACAAATGAGATTCTTTTGTTGGGCTGGTGGCCTTCCGAGCCTTTTCTCTCTTCAGCCTGCTAGTTGAGTATTAAATCCAACACCAAGAAGCTAAAACCAGAGCTTTCAAATTTAAACAATTACTGGATTCGTGTGTCGCGGCAGGAGAAAACACAGCCAGCGAATTGCCTGTTTTTATAAGGCATTTAAGATGGCTTTGGAAGACAGTGGAATATATTATCTTCACATTACATAAAAGACATAAGTGGCAAATATTTGCCAATGTTGGAGAAGCAAATCACTGATGTGAGAAGTGCCCACAGAAATGATTCTACCTGCTGAATGTCATTTCGTCGGCGGAGAGCTGTTTCTCTTTGTTTAGCTTGTGCTCGGTTATGAGCCTGGGGATGAAAGCAGCAAATAGAACTTAACAGCTCATTCTGCTCTTAGCATTGACTCAATATTTACTTGTGCAAAAGGCTGCCTGCTTTGAAGCCCGAGAAAATGACACTTGGAGACGTTCATTTTTATCGCGTGTGGCTGCGTGGGAGTGGGATCGGGCCGTGTGCAAGACACGCGGGTCCCGAGGCCCGCGGAGCCAGCGCCTCCCAGGCGTGGGGCCTTGAGGTCAGGGGTGTGAGGCGCCCGGCCCTGGGGCTCCGGGGGTTCAGACGCGACTAGAGAAGGAGCGAGGCCGGGTGCACGGACTCGTCGTAGTTCCGAGTGAGCACTGAGGCTGGCTCGAGGCTGGCGAGCGTCCGAGTAGAAGGAGGCAGGGAGGCGAGGCGGCTGTTGGGAGGAGGGGGTCTGTGGAGCTGTTCACCCCGGAAGCGAGACTTGGAGTTAGCTGTCCCCACAGGACCTGGGGCTGGAGGACAGGCCTGCGGAGCCGTGATGGCGGGATGAGGCAGTTCAGCCCCAGCGTCAGGCCCTGACTGCATGACTGGAGAACGAGGTCCACCCTGCGGGGTCTTGTGACCAGGAGGTCATTTACGTGAAGTGCCCGCAGAGTTCACTCGCTCTTGGTGTGGGTGCTGGGCAGAAACAGGGAGCCAGACCCCCGGGGTCCCGCTCTCCAGGAGCTGACCTCCCCGTGTGAGGAGACAGGAAGGCAGGCACACACACACACACACACACACACACACACACACACACACACATACATTCAGGGCTCCGGAAACTACCAGAAGGTGCTAAGTGCACGTGGAGAACAAAACTGCCGAGGTAAAGGCTGGGTGCTGCTGGAGATGAGCGGCCAGCAAAGACCCTTGGGAACAGGCACTTTTGTTTCTTCATTTCTTTATTTAAAAGTTTCCGTATTTATTTTGAGACAGAGAGAGAGAGAGAGAGAGTGATAGCCAGCCGGGGAGGGGCACAGAAAGAGGGGGAGAGAGAGAATTCCAAGCTGTCAGCATGGAGCCTGACATGGGGCTCGAACTCACAAACTGCGAGATCATGACCTGAGCCGAAATCAAGAGTCGGACACTTAAACAACTGAGCCCCCCAGGTGCCCCCGGAATAGGCACCTTTAAGGGAAGGTCGATTTGAAGGTGGGGAGGGGTCTTCCAGGGGCAGCCAGCTGCGGGACAGGGCACCCAAGCCCTGAGGCCCAGGGCCTGGTGGGGGAGGGCTGGGAGGGGGACAGAGGCCAACAAGCAGGAAGGGGCAGGTCTTGAGGGTGCCAGAGGCACAAAGGAGGAGCTCAGCATGAAGCCTCTGGAAGGTTTTGAACCAGGGGAGCAAAGCTTGGCACGGGGCATCTGAAATTTCTTCCACGGAAGAAAGATCGACGGAAGATTTCCAGGCAGGGTGTCGCCAGCGGCCTGGGGCTGCGGGTGGGTCCTTGGGCAGCCACTTGGGAGTGTGGAGGGGTAGGGAAGAGATCAGGGTAGTAGACTTGGGAAGGGGCCGAGGCTGTGGGCTGGGGGTGCCGCAGGGCTGGCGGAGGGGGGTGCTGGCGCCTGGTTGGACGTGAAGCCAGGTAGACTGGGGAGCAAGGGAGGCCCAGACCGTTATGGTGGGAGCCTAGGGCTGTAGGAGGGGGTGGCTGGTACACACAGAGACGCGTTGTTTCACTGGGGACACAGAATCAGGTGCTCATGAAACAGAGCCAGGGAGAGCAGTGTGTCCAAGTAACTGCCCACGTGCTGCCGTTTTGGGTGCTTTCTTTGTGCTGGTGCAGTGCTCTGTGCGCGTATCCGTGCGTGTGGACGTTCCCCGGCTGGCGCCCCGTGTGTGCGTCTGTACGTGGGGACGGTCCGTGGCTAGTGCTCTGTATTCCTCCACGGGGATGGTCCCTGGCTTGGCAATAGTTCGGTTTATTGTTTCCAGAATTTACGATGGTGCCAAAGCGA